CCTAAAGGTCCCTCTTACATAGGGGTATAGTCCGGGCTCACGGGATACGGGGAGGACCTAAACCCTAGTCTAGTTTGACCTGAGCATTTGGACGTCTCAGTTGGAAGACCTCAGTTGGAAGACCTGAGGGCTGTTGAACGAGAGTAATTAGTACCGATGACAGAGATCCTATATTATATGGGTTTAGGGTCTATGGTTTAAGGTCTAGGGTGTAGGGGATTTCCCACTATCCCTATACATTCCCTATATAACCGCAATATTACCCTGTAGAACCCTGCAAAGACAGAGGGCTTTTAGGTGTTGGGTGGCTTTAGGTTTTTGGGCGTCGAGGGTCTCAATTATGATTATAATAGGGTATATGTTGGGGTTATGGGGATACTGGAAATAAAATGGAAACTACTATGATACCAGGGTACATATTAGCTACCCTGGAGCCCCAACAGAGCTCCTTTGTGGACTACGCTTCTGCGTTAACGGCCCCCGTAGATGTAAGAAATGAGTCCTAGAAAACTAGAACCAGTCCATTTTGAACCAATTTTTTGACAGCCTCCGGTTCTAGGAGCGTATAATCCATGGTCAGCGTTGATGGTGGTTTTCTGATTCTGTAGCACCTTACCAATGCTGAGCGATGCATTTCACAGGCATTTCAAGCCCTGGGCAAAAAAGCTGTAAACCCTAGGCCAATTAACTTTGCATCCCCTTGCAAAAACTAAAGGAACCATAAATAAGCACACCCTTAGGGTCCAAGTACATAAATAAATTGTAATTAGGGCCCAAAGTACCCATAAAGGAACCCATTCGAGCCCAAATCATCTACTATTTGAGTACCTGGACCCTTCAGCAATGCATGTATTCATTAGGCAAACCCCCAGCGAGGTTCGCCATGATGGCTGCCGCCTCACCTGGCGAGGATGGTATGGTGCTCCGAAATCCAGTGGACCCAAACTCCTACATGGGTCTCCTGGCTGGCGGGTTTAGGGCTTAGGGTTTAGGGTCTACATGGGTCTCCTGGCTGGCGGGCGTGTAGGGTGGTTTTAAAAACTAATGTCTTTAAAGGTTTTTTGGTTTAGGGTGCATGGGGTCTACAGACCGTGCAAGTAATGAGCATGAACATAGATTCTCCCATTACTTTGGGGATCATGGGTAGGGTGTAGGTTTCAGAGCCCAAATCCCTAGATCAATCGCTTCGGGGGTTTGACCACAACAAACTCCAAAAGGACGTGCATTGGAAACCCTAGGCCCTGCGCCCCAACCCCCCCTCAAGGCCTAAACTGATCCCAAGGATCCTGAAAACTCAGGCATGTTGGTCTTCAAGAATGGTTCGCTCTCCCGCGAGCGGGTGCTGAAAGAGGCATGTGGCGGCCAATGGGACACCTGGGCAAAGATGCTCGCAGGGTCCTTGGCTGTGGGCGTTGCGTGTGCTCTTCGGAAGATCACAGAAAACCTAGGTATCCAAGTCTACGAACATTGCTTACTTGGGGCCCGGAAATCTATAATCATTTACCCTAAGGGTCCAAGTACCCAAACATTGGGGCTTCAGTCAGGCTTCAGACCCGAAAAAATGCGCCCTTGGTTCCTTAGAATTGGTCAGTACCCACTTTGGGCTGCATGGATCTAGGGGGCCACAGCTTGGCTGCTGGCATGACATCCTCATTCCTCACATTTGAACGGGTTTAGGGTTTAGGGTATAAACCCTAAACCCTAAACCCATTGTTCGCCTCACTGCGGGTGCTCAGAAACGCTTGCCTTGAGGGTCTTGGGGATACTTAGGGACTTAGGGATTATGTAGGCCTTTTCTGTAGGCCTTATAGAAGCCCCGTCTTAGAACTCATCCCCTTTGCCTGAGGATGACCTTGCAACAGCTTCCCACAACTTTGGCATCCTGGATGCCTGAAATCGACCTCATCTTGTTTGGGGATGGTCTTTCCCGTTTGCGCTCCCCTGCAGTGCCAAGTTGATATGTTTCCTTGAAGAAGCACCGGCCAACTCACTTTCGGCTGTACAGCTCAGTTGTGCACGGTGCGACGTTCATGGTCAAAACAGTGAAAGGGGCCGTCGCGCTTAACAGGAAACTCGGGCCCATACCTGGGACTTTCTCATGGTTACCTTGCAAGGGACACCCATCATCTCCATATTCCCGGCCCCCTGCAGGAATGCCCATAAATCTAGGGCTCCCTGCCAATGTCCCCAGGTTGAGAAATCTCAGGGTTTATGGTTCAGGGTTTCGGGTTGAGGGTTCAGGGTCTAGGGCTTAGGGTTCAGGGTTTAGAGGTTCAGGGTTGAGAAGCCTTACTTGGGGCACCAAGGCGGACACTAAACCTGGCAATGGCGGGTCTCTAGGTGCCGTCCCCAGTGAGCTGTTGCTTCTCAGGGAGGACCTAGCAAGTAGATCCTCTTCAGAGTTCCTAGAATTACCCATAGCAGTCTAGGATACCATGATGTTGATGGGTTTACTTTAGATCCTCCCAGTGGTAATCAGCTTTGCCTGGTTTACTTGCAGTTGAAGTCTGGTATAGAAGGCCTGACCGGAAGGTAAATTGTGTTGACAGTGACGGTCCCATCCTATACCCCTGCCCGCAATGCTCAGCGTCCCTTCATGCAACTCGTATAGCAGGCCTGTAGAATCCCGAACAGAGTCGTGCACGATCCGTATCACAGCCTTGTCAGATCCGGCAGTTGTGAGCTTCAGTTAGCATTTTGACTGCTTAGGCTTCTACTTCCACAGCCCAGAGATTACTCCAACTACGGGTGACAAGCATCCTGGCCTTATAGAGGCATGGATTCGAGGATTGCCCCCCAACCAAGAAGTCACGAGCGCCCAACACGGCTTTCGCAAGGGTTAGCAGCGTGAGCTTCTTGGGCTGTACTCCTCACTATACAGACTTTAAAGCATGGACCCCGAAGCTTTTGAACCACAACTCTGCACGGGTTGACAAAATCTAGGTGCAAAAGTCTGGCACAAATCTGTACCTGAACCTCACAAGTGCGCACCATAGTGATGTTTATGGCTGCTGCCATTTCATGGGTTATGGAGTTGTGGGCCATTACTTAATCTCAAATTAACCCCTTCCACCAATCATAACACACCGCCCCAGCCCCTCAGATTTAATGGTTCTTACAAGAGGCCTTAAGTTGTAGATTGGTGAGACATGCTTTATATTAGTAGGTAGGGAAAGATACGAACTCAGGGGTGATTAAATCATATATGAGCTATAGTCTAAACTCCTTAAAGGGGGTTATATAGGGGATTATATAGGGGACTATTATAGGGCTTATTAAGGGGGATACTAGGAGTTTAGACAGTGGCTCATATAATGATGTGCACATAACAGGTTCCTGTGCAATGTATTCTCTACTTACTCAGAGAACCATTCCTTCGGTATCCTTTGCCGCATTCGTCGGATACCTTTGGTTAGGCTTGTGGCCTACTGTAAACCCCAAAACCTAACCCCCCCCCCAAACAAAAAAAAAATAAGTGAAGAAAAAGTCTAAGCAGAGGTCTAAGAAGCAGTTGGGGGCTACCTGAGCTTCACCACCGGGGTGTCCCAAAATGAGCCGTGAGGTGGTACGTAGTACATGTGCTACCCAGAGGGTCCATGTACCCAATAGTTAGGTACTTGGGTTTTGGGTAGTAGGAATTATAGTACAGGTTTTGGGTAAGTATATGACTTGGACCCTTAGGGCTAACAAGAAATTCCGAGTGACAGTTAGCCACACAGGTAGTTTTGCTTCTGTGCTTGTGCTCGAGGTACCTTGCCCAAATGTTGATGGCCTCTGCAATTTGCAAGTAGAATTTTGCAAGGGAAGCTGCCCTTAATGTCTTGGGAGGAAGCAACTTGCAACCTACACCCGATCCGTAGACCTGGAGCCTTGAACTCGAAACTGAAACTAGATTTTCCTGAGGATCAAGGCCACACATACTGAAAATCAAAATTAAAGCCGTTTTTGGAAATACCGCGCTAAGTTCCGTCGAGCATTTGCCCGAAACATTGTCCTAGCTTGCCGGGTATCATTCCTGGCGACTGAGCTTCTGAATTCGCAGTTTGGCCACCGTTCAAAAGTACCACGTGATGAAATCCCTGCATCCGTTTGCTCAAGGTCGGGCGTGTTCCGCTTCGATGGTGATAGCAAGGACTGAACCTTCAGGCCTGCAGGTCTCAGGTATCTTGTTGTTTCAGATGTCGCGGGAAGATTACATAGGATGACACCATTTTATGCAGAACTGCTCTCTTCTGCACATGTCAGGCATCCCAGAAACTCTGAAGGGGGTCTGGAGGCCCTGAGTTCGGGGCTTAGGGTTTAGGGTTCAAATGGTGGCCGCAGGTGTCATATTCCTTCTTCAAGATGATCCAAAAGTCAGCTGAAAGTATGTCTTCATAGAACGCTGGCATGTATGGTACTGAGCTTTTCCCTAAGGGTCCAAGTACCCAATAATCATATACTTACCCAAAACCTGTACTATAATTCCTACTACCCAAAACCCAAGTACCTAACTATTGGGTACATGGACCCTCTGGGTTTTATTTCTGAAAGAGTGAGCCCAGTTCAGGGAACCGGCCTTTGAGCCTTGAACCCTGTGGTCCTAAGCAACCCACTTTGGAGGACAAGAATCTATACCCAATGCTTTGGGTGGTTTATGGTTGGGTCTCCTAGTCCCTATAAAAGTTATAAGCCTTATAAGCCCGAAACCCTAATCCCCCACATTGCTCCTGAGTTACGCTCAAGTCGTTCACTCACATTGCCTTGTAGAGGCGACTACACTGAACTGTAGGCCTGATCCGAAGGGTCCAAGTACCCAGATGTTTCGCTTTAGGGTACCTAAAGCCCCAATATACATTGACCCTGGGCCCTTGGGGTGGAAGACTTAACTACCACAAGGGTCAAGCAGTTGAGACTGTGTTTTGTTTGGGGGAACAGGAAGCCTGGAAGCTTAGGCTAGAATAAGTCTAAATATCTTGTTCTTGACAGCTAGATCCCCGGCTAAATCAGACTGACAGTCTAATCGGTAAAGATCCGCAGGATACAAAAAATCCTGCATAACTATGGCATACGAAAATTCCCAAGCCATGAGGCAGCTAGAGTCATACAGGACTTTAAGCAGCAAGTATATGCGAAGGTTTTTGGAGGGATACACTTCCTGAAGCAAATCGCAAAGGAACAGGTTGCAGCTTGTGTTGTTACTATGTAAGCTCCTCTACTTACCCTGATGAAACCATTTAGTCGCTTGAGATCTAGCGTCCTTCAGCGCCCTTGTATTCAGAAACACCCGATATTACAACCATGAGTATTAGTATTACTATATTCTTACTATTACCACAAATATCATTATTATTCTTATAAATAATATTATTGTTACTATTTCATTTTTAGTATCTAAGCTGCAGGAGGTGGACGCTTTCGCCGGTGCCACGGAGGTCCGAGCAGTTGTGGAAGGCAAGCGTTCTGCTGACCGTCTTCGGATTTTTCCTTCAGTAGGGGGCCATAGGGGCTAGAAAAGGACTATGGGGTCCCTACGAGACCGTGCAAGTGATATATATATATATGTATAGAGATGTTGTTGAAAAACATATAGGAGATTTTCCGAAGCACAACGGATGCTACAGCTGTCAAGGCTAAGCGGAGAGTTTTGGTGTTATAGCTGCTGAGTTTCAATTGCTTTGGCGTCTTACCCTGAAATCTTCAGATGGTTGGAAGATATGAGGCGTTTCTCTGCGGTGCGTTGCTAAGCTCGTTTCTGATTGCACCTTAATGTATTTAAGCTTACATATGAGTATTTACATATATTCATATATACTGGGGTCAGGAGCCTCCTAAAAATGGCTCAGCACAATCAGATATTCAATGAAAGCGGGCACTGCTCTTTTGCCCGAAGCCCTAAACCCCTATGTACCTATCGTGCCCGTTTTGTGCCAAAGGAGTTCGCGGGCTACTTGTTCCAATGGTTCACTACAGCCCTGCCGTCAGTAACCCATCTACCCCCCACCCCCCAAAGCACATTTGGTTGTGTGTATTTTTCTAGTAACAGGGCTACCCTGGATAAACACCCTGTCCTTGAGTTCCTTGCTTCAAAGTTGGGCGATGGAGTCATCTGGGTGTGCTACAGTATCATGCCCCAACCTCCGCGCTACCTGCAACCCCAAAAGCGCGACCAGGATAGGTCAGCGTATATGTAGCACGCAAACAGGGGCATGCAGGATGGCCCATAAGTACACCGAACCTCTCCTGGCAACTCACAATGTCGAGAAGTCCTTCTGCATTTCAGTCCATGCCCGTTACCAGGCAAGTTCCTGGCGATGCGAGCATTTGCGCAGGGCATCGGCCGCCTTGCTGCGAAGATTGCAAATGGTTCTAAACAGGGGTTTAACTTTAACAGTTGGGAGTAGGGGTACACAGTATATCACAGTATTTCCCCAAAAAGAGGAGCCCCAAACTACGTGGACATTGTGTGTGTGTGTGTGAGGCGTTGCGAAGTTCTGGCTTTATGTCTTGCACCTGACATTCAACTACTCCACCATAGTCTACTGGAATGGCTTCAGCACAACGGTTCTTTGGAGGATATGGGTAGATGGCGCATTTCTCGATTTCAGGGCACTTGTTGTTTTCTATCCGCTAGAAGATGGCCGAGTCGCAATCTTCGTCTTGCGTAAGCCCATGACATGCGTCGTTGAGATCTTCCTTATTCCTTCTCCAGCAAGGGATCTGCAGTTGGATGGGTTCTCTCTGAAGGCATGGACCCTTCCGAAGTGAAGCGTATCATCGCCACCGGCGGCGCTTCCGCGAACAAAGCAATTCTGCAGGCCTCTGACGTGTAAGGTTTCGACTGAAGTTCAGACGTTTAGTAGGATCTATCGAGCTCAGGGCACCGTCAGTGTGCTGCACCCAGGGTTGCCGGTGTGTAGAGCCAGTTCGGGCCCTGTGGCTTCAGCAAAGCCTGTCCTTCTTGTGACCTTTGCTTGGAGCACTTTGCAGCACGGGCTTTGACGGCCATTAGATTAGATGTCATTAGGAAAGGTGGCACAAAGAACCTTGAACCCTAAAGAAGTACATGGGTAATCATCCATGTGTCGCAAATGCCTTCACGCCACTGGCATTTACTGTGGGTATTTGTGGCGATGGCAAAGGCGTTGAGGGTAAACATGCTGCATGACCCTCATCTCCCCGTACTTGACTTACTGGTTCTTAGTAGGAAGTGGGGATATATGTTATAGGGATTATATAGGGATTCTATTCCCATATTCCCTACCAAGAACCAGTAAGAAGAAACCTAGTTGTAGGAGCGAAACCAGTTCTAGGAGTGAAAGCAGAAGCAGCTGCCATAGCTGTGGCCTAAGGTGTGCTTCTGTGCAGACAATCAGCCCTTACATGATCTACTGTATATGGGGGTTTGCCAACATCAGGGGTACCTTTTGGGAATCCTAAAGCAAGGGTTATAGCATTTTATGGTCTATCTTGGGGTCCCCGTACGTAGGGAAACTACCACATGAACCTGGGTTCTTTTAAGCATTCAAGCGGGCACTTGAAAACCCTAATTTGAAGTGCTGATCCTCATAAACTTATGTCCCTGTGTATATGCCTGCGGTCCTAGGTTCCCCCCCCCATCCCAGTAGGCTCCAGATGGAGCACCGAGAAGCTGTCATTCAGGGTTTAGGGTTTAGGGTGTGTAGACAGATTGCCAGGGAAGCCTGGCAGGTCCTTGCTGATGTTTTCGGCGTGCCGGTGCTTCGATTGCAAGATGTTAGGAGAAGTCACCGTAGACAAGGCTGCTTCAAAGCAGTTGTAGGGGTTCGATTGGGCTGTAATGGGTTGTGTAGGGAGATATACGGAGATAGTGGAACAGTAAAATGGAAATTGAGATGAACACTGGAATGTTCTGCTGACGTGGAAGCTTTAAACGTCAGCAATTACTTACCTTTCTAAATGGATCTGGACTCGTGAAGACCGAACCCGCCAAAGCAGGCAATACTAGTGACCTTATCGACATCAACAAGACCTAGAATCGCGTCAACGCCATGCGTCATGTGCGCACTGCTGGCATAAACACTGCAAGCTGTAGGACGATAACTAGGCAAGTTCTAGGCTTCAGAGTACTGATAGACAGCGCTACGAATGTGGTCCCCAGTGACGAGCGTAGCAGAAGACGAATGCTAAACCCGGAAGACCAAAAAGCAAGTCCAGAACCTTTAGTCCTCAAACCGCACACAAGCATTTAAAAGCCATAGCGCCCGGCTGAAAGCAGAACCCCTCACCCAGAACCCGCAAGATCCTGAAGCCCAAAAGAAAAGCCCTGATACCCGTCAACCCAATGTCAGCCCTCAATACAACAGAAACCTGAAAGCCGCACCCTAGAAAACCTTGAAACGCATCCCTAAATCCACAACGCAAGGCCTAAAAACCCTCAACCCCAACCCTAAAGCCCTACACCCTGAAACCCTTTCAACATTACGTATCCCTTAGAAATCCTATAAACCCCAACGCCCCAATTCTAAGATCTAAAGCCCCCCCAAGGTCTTCACCTTAGACCAGCCGGACTCAGCGTCCTTGGGCGCCGCGCTGCGCGCAGGTCACGGATTCCGCTGCCTCGGAGCGCAGGGGGGTCCCTGGGACTGGCGTTCTGTTTTTCACCATGATTCTCATCATTTTTATACGAGCTATCATGATTGTGATTAGTATAATGATTTCTTATGGCTATGATTACGATTTTAGCGGTCGCAGGGATGTCTGGGGCATTTTTTCAATTAACGGATTTCAGGGTTTGAAAGGGTTTGAGTCGTTTGGACTTGAGGGCTGAGAGTGTAAGTTTTAGAGTTGAGGGTTTTATAGGGTTTAGAGTTTCCAAGTTTTAAGGCGTAGGCTTTGGGGTTTGGGGGGTCGGATGAGGCATCGCCGGTTGCCTTGCAGCTTCTCTTGCTAGTCTTCCTGCTGCTGCTTATGCAGCTCCCCCTGTTCCACCCAATCCCACGGCTAGAAAAAGAGCATGCGGCTTAGGGTTAAGGTTTAGGGTTTATGGTTGGGCTATGGGATCGCTTAGGTTCTTGGTGCAGGGTTGAGTGTTTCCCAGCTGACGGTTTTCGCCGACAACTTTCTGGATTTAGCAAGGCAAAAGTTGTCGACTGGGAGTCTAGCGTTTCAGAATCTTGCTTGAAGCTTGACTTACTATTGCTACCAAATTACAATTACCATTGCTATTACTCTATGACGATTATTGTTATTACTACTTTTGTTACTATTATTGTACCTGCAAGCTACCTCTAAGTCTTCCAACTTCAATTGCCCTGCTTATCGCCGGATTACATGCATCCACATCCCTTAAACAAAAACTGGACGTGCATGCAACGACTTACGGAAGGACAAATACGCACGCGTGGGCTAGGGCTTTTCCCCATATCATATTGAGCTACTATATGGGTTAAGAGTCTAGGGCGGTTTAGGGCTTCCAAGGGACAATTAAGGATGGACGTAGGGGCGCCTTTGGTATGTAGTCCGTAATATATTTATTCAAATTTATTCCCTAATAGGAATCCATTCATTACATGGGAAATAGGGATTGTGTCTCATATGTCCAGACGAACCTGTAGCCTCATAAAGCCGCTGGTCCTTTCTTTAGATCAGAGGTCTTTCGACCACCGATGAACGGAAATGCTTGATGGAGCTCCCTCAGGCCTTCCCAAGGCTCCCGCAGTTCCGCGAGATCTATTGGGGCTTCCTTGAATTTGGCTGCTAGACCCCTACACCCTAAACCCCAAAGTTCAGACCCTCATCTGTCAAGCCTCCTAAGTAGGAAGCAACGAAGCAAGAAGCTGACGCCGTGGGAACTTCCAATTTCCAAGCCGCTCAAAGAAGTTTTCGAGTGCATATCCCAGGACAACTTGGTATGTTGGGAATACTGGACATCAGGTAGTGGGGAGTTGTTCGATACTATCAGGAGGCAGTGAATTTCGCGCACACCCCAGGCCCTAAATCCTAAACCCTAAACCCTACAAATCCTCAACCCCTAAGCCCTAAAAAGACCGTAGAGCCTAAACCCTAAGTCCTGAAGCCCTAAACCCTAAACCCTATAAATCCTCAATCCTAAAGCATGAACCCCAAGCCCTAAGGTTTTCTGCCCTTTGCGGACTTCCTGACGGGTGGGCGTCTCGACTACGCGCGAGCCGCTGAGCCGATCCCTGGTGCAAAGGACCGCATCACAGATACTGCAGGGGGTCTGGGGTTCAGGGTTTAGGGTTAAGGATTTAAGGTTCAGGGTTTATGGTTACGGGCTTAAGGTTCAGAGTTTAGGGTTCAGGGTTTATGGTTACGGGTTTAATGTTCAAGGTTTAGGGTTCAGGGTTCAGGGTTTAGTTTAGGGTTTGCTGTGATATAGCGTTGAAGTAGAGAGAGTCATGCCACAGAGTCGCTTCGAGCGTGTCGTGCCGTGCGACATGCTGCTTCGGCCTGACTGAGGCCATCTAACACACTCACCCACCCCACGCCGTCCCAGGCGGCCAAACCACCCAAACCTATTCCTATTAGGGTTTAGGACCTAAACTCACTTAGGCCCATCTTGGTCAACAACACCACACATTTCTATAGCCAAGATTCTGGTTTCCGAAAGGCTCAAGAAAAAGCCTCGGGAAGACTGCAAAGAGTTCGTCCTGAAGCCTGACTCTGCCAAGAAAGGAGGTGACTCTGTCCCTTAGGGCCCTGTTTAGGAATGTTTTGTGAAATGGGAGGCCCCTGTTGGCAGGCCCTAAAGTGTGTGAAGGCTTGTGGGAGGAGGCCCTGGAGGATTCTGGGAGGCCTTGGAGGCCTGAGCCTGCTGAAACGGATGTGGAGGCTTCGGTGGCGGCGCCTCTGTCAAGGCTGACCCCTCCCTGCACGTGCTCCGGTTTCCTGGTGCCAAAATTTGCGCGCAGAGGACCTGGACCCTCCAGCAAGACCTCCCCAGAAGAGGCGCTTGGGGAAAGCGACCAGCAGCAGAACGGGGTCCGGTACCAGGCCTATTGTGGGTGCTATCGTACCCGTGGTTGTGCTGAGGCAGAACCAGCTAGGTCGGTCTGGCTAAAGGATGTAAGGGACATAGGCACCGCCCACCATCGTAGGTGGGCGGCCTAAGCCTTGAGTTTAGGGTTCAGGATTCAGGGTTCAGAGTTGAGGGTTTAGGGTTTAGGGTTGAGGACGAGGGCCTAAGGAGTCTGGATTTGCCTTTGGGATATTTTGATATTTTGATAGTTGGTTTCATAAGGACCCGACGTACTAAGATGTGTCAAAGGGCTCCAAAGGCCAGGCAAGGAGCTCGTTAGGATTTAAGGTTTAATGTTTGACCCTCTTTTGTACTGGTGCTGCCCCGCCTAGACAATTGACTATTCTCTTGAATCCCTCGCCAACATCCCAAATTTGTTTTGCCAAAGAAACCAATAAAAACACGAACCTTGGTAGTAGCGTTGAAGCTGGTATTCGATGTGGTATTCGTGTTAGAATTGACTTTGATCATGCACATTAAACTCTGCTTAGAACTGGTTTCAAATCTATTCCAGACCAATTTATAAATGAAACCAACTGAAACGCCGTTCAAATCCAATAAATGTCAACTGGAACTCTGGATGGGCGGATGGATAGCCGCTGGGGTGTGACAGCCACGGGTCAAGCGTCATCCCTCTTGCCTAGGCGGCCCCTCCGAAATCGTCATTGGGGCTCCAGACGAGCGAAACTCTAAACTCCTCAAATGGGTTTATATAGTGGGTTACATACGGTACAATTACATGGGTTACTAAGGGGGATTGAAGGAGTATAGACGATAGCTCAGGTGGCGCTCAGGTTCCTACTGCCTGAAGGAAACGTACCCTGCAAGACCTTTCAGACTCACCAAGCCAGGCGTGGTTTGTCGTAGGGCGTGTCATCCCAGTCAAACCTAATATGGGGGGTGGTCATATTGGGATAATGGAAAAATGGAAACCCCTATATTATGGGGTTATATATATACGCTTATTGTTATTTTTTGTAAAAAAGAAATCCTCCGATCCCCTCAGATTCACACTCACATGGGTCAAGGCCACTGGCACTCACAGTGGTGCTGGCAAAGACCCGTAAAGACCACATCCCTGCCAGACAGAATCTCCAGCCCAAGCAGGAAATCTTTCCTGCCAAGCCGAGAGAACGTGCGAGTGAAATCAACATCTAGTTCAAGTCAACTATAGTCCAATTCGCAACTCAACTGCAGTACACCATTGAATTCTGGTCAAATTCAGCTGAACATCTACTTAAAAACCAGTTAAGGTTCAAGTAACATGAACAGAATTTTATTTAGAATCTAGTAAACATCTCATGCATATCAATTAGAAAATCTAATTGAAATCTCATTAAAATGAGTTGGAAGCCTATTCAACATCGACTGAGGTTTTGAGAAAGTGAATGCCAAATCCAATTAGATTCGTTGAAAACCTAGGTCATTGGTTTTAACCCAAATACAATCTAATTAGCATCCAATTCAAACAGTTGAAATCCAAAAAACAATACACTAACATCCAGTCATTGCAATTTGAAAACCCAATTAACACCAAAGAAAATCTAGTTGAGAATCGATTGGACAGCTCGTGACAGTCAGTTACATCTAATTGAAGCCCAGTCGAACCCAATTCAAACCAAGTGAAATCATATTAAGATCCAATTTTCAGCCCGATTAAAACCTATTCAAATCGAAGCCAAACCAAATCCGATGAAAGTCAGGTGGAAACTGATCAGAAGTAATTAAAATCAAATTAAAACCCATTGAAATTTGTTCTCGGATAATCCCGAAAAGGTTCAGGGGGCTTAAGATGCTGGTTTCATGGTTTCATGGTATCAAGATTAAATCCAGAGCACGTGAACGACAAACCCAACGCCGTACATCCTAAACGCCCCAAACCTGTCAATCCGGAACCCTATAAAAGCCCAAACCCTGTACACTGTAAACCCTAAACCCTGTATACCCCAGATCTCAAGCCCCGTACCCCAAAACCCCCAGGAAACGCTAAACCCTAAACCCTAAACCCCCAGCAGGAAGTTTACACCGAGCTCTTACCGCGCTTCGTCAAGCTGCAGCCTGGCTGCTTCATGCCTAGCGACATGAAAGGTCCGTAGGGTTTAGGGTTTAGGGTTTAAAGTTTATGGATGGATATTTGCCCAGCAATACCCTAGGGCTCGAAATTGCCCAATGTAGGTACTATTTATAGAGATTGGGGCCCAATGTAGAAATTATTTATAGACATGGAGCCCCAGTGTTTCATACCCAGCACTCTCTGGGGCTCAAGTTTTACACGCTGGTTCAGGACAAGAACAACCCAGTCGTAGTTGTGGTTATGTTATAACCCTATCAAGGGCTGCGGGGGCACGCCGTAGAGTTGAGCCACAAATGGGTTGTTCTCAACCTTATGGGCCCTTGTGGCCATGGATTATATTACGGCACCTAATATCTAGTACCAAAATTTGAACCCTAATTTGGGGAACTACCCAACTACAGTCAGACGTAAGTCAGGGTTACCCTGAACCCTCCCCTGAACCCTGAACCTTAAGCCCTAAAAGTTTGTGCAGCCCAGCTCGTGTGATGAAACGCCCCTTTTGCATACATACTCTTGGGGTAGGGCCTTTTTCCTTGGAACTTCTTCTTTCATTCCTATTCTAGTATAACCCCAAGGAACTGGGTCTAAGGGGGTTACAGATAAAACTACCCTAGTATGAATATTTTCCTGGACCCTGGAAGTCCTTGTTATTGGGAGGGTGCAGGGTTTTGTTGCTGGCGCATATCTATACAGCTTCTTATTGCAAGCGGAATCGAGGCAAACAGCGGTAGATTCTGCATCCACTCATCGATGTTGTGGAAATCCGGGCTTCATATTGAGGTTCTAAACTCCTCCCCCTGAACTTGAACACCCACCTTATTTAAGATGATCTCTATAGACTCTAGAAGTGACCCTATATGTTGGCGGTGTTGTTTGGGAGAGTTCCAGGTAGCAGCAAGCAGAGGAACCCTAGTCCAGGGTTACGGTAGGGTCAAACTCCCATGGTATTGAGGTTTCTACCAAAAAAGTCCACATGGGCCTGACTCTGACAATCAGGGGTCCAAAGTTCAGCTAAGGCAAGATCAAGTGCTGGCAAGCCTTGGCCAGGGAAGCGCTAAGCGGCAGAAGACCTGAGCTTAATTTCAAAGCAGGACTTTGGTGACACGAACCCCTGTACTAAGCACCTTATAATATGGTAGTCGTAGGGTCCTCAATTTGGAGTCGCCAAAATCCTTTGATTACCACTCTCGTAGAAGGGGTGTTAGAAGGTCAGAGGCCGGGAGGCCTAGTGGGGCCCGAGTGGAGATGGTTGGGTTCGCTCCATTTAAGGCCCAAGTGACATTTCAATTTACTTACGAACCCCCTATGGATGGGGTAGAGTTAGGGACTTTTGAGGCCTGACCTTCTGAGCCCCTTATACAATCGTTTGTTGAAGTCATGTAGTGAAGAACGCAACCTCTGTAGCTTCCAACCCTAAACCCTTAACCGTAGACCCTAAACCCTAACCCCTAAACCCTAGACTCCTAGACCCTAAACCCTTAACCCTAGACCCTAAACCCTAAACCCTAGGAGGACTCCTCTGCATGTTGGAGGTTCACTCCGTCACTGAACCAACCCAGGGAGCCCAATGTAGTTTCATAAAGGAATATACCTTAAACCATATTAAGGGTCCTGGTATGATATACAGCCCCCCCTTAAGTAGATAGAATATGGCCTTGGGTATACTATAATAAGATCCCCATATACCCCATATTCTATCTACCTGAGGGGTACTATAAGATACATTCCTTAATTGAGCTACATTGCGCTCTCCGGGAATAGCCAAAAGTGTCACGAGTAGGGCCTCGGTCTATACCAGCACCCACCTCATGCTGCAAAATAGGTGACAAGGGTTAGAATGTGGTCTTATTTGGGTTAAATTGGGGTGATGGAAAGGTTATATTAGGGTTATATTGGGATAGTGGAAAAGAAAGTGGAAACGACTATCTAGTATACTGGGGTATATATTGGTATGATCACCGTCTTCGCAGGCGTCTGCACCCACCTAACAACACCACCACGACCCATGATTATGCTCCTTTGCCCTAGCTTATCTGGGCTTGGCTGTGGGTTCCTGTGACTTACTGGGGGTTAGTAGGGAATAAAGGAATACGTTATGTAGGGATTATATTCCCTCATTCTTTACTAACCACCCGTAAGATGAGCCTGGTTATGCGAAGACCTGCAGCGCGGCGGAAATACGACGTTCAAAGCTGCATGCTTGCATAGCATCTTCCCTGGGTGTCACGCGGTTTAGGGCTTAGATTTTAGGGTTCAGCGTTTGGGGCCTATTTAGGGTGTTAATCAATTGCTTGCAATTTCCCTCAGACGGACTGGTCTTTTGGCTCAAGCAACTGACCATATGTCCCTACCCGACCATTAATGTTCATCGCCGTTGCTCCCAAAGAGCAGCTTCCCAGGTTTGGGTGGCCTCCGCAAACCTTTTACAATTGTGGAAGCCACGGCTGTTTTGTTACCAGCGCTCTGTGTTACCGCAACCCTCAAAATGAGAACCCTGCGAATGTCATACGCCTCTGAAAGCGTACTGGATTATAAAGGTTGGAGCTACCAATATCCCCTTCTTGAGTTTGACGTGCCCTGGATGTTCTCCAGACCTTTGAGCAGGAATCACAGTGTAGCTCTCAATCACAAGGTTTAGGGTTAGCTCCAGGACGCCACAGCCGAAGGTGGCAAACTGGGGAAAGACAGTAGTGGATTGATTGCATAGGTACTACTTATTTATCCGGGTTTCAAGCCAGCCCAGCGAAATCCGTAAAATTTCCAGCTATGATGACATGACAGTTCCAGTCTAGGACTTGCAAGGTTGGCAAAGGGCTAGCTGTCGCAGAAGTGTTCCATGAGCCTCCACCCAGTAACATGTGAAGTTGGAGCAATATGAGCTATTGTCTAAACTCTCTTACGGAAAGTTTTATGGGGGTGATTAAGCGGAATACTAGGAGTCTAGACTACAGCTCATATCGTCCCCGACACGGAGGTCATTCTATCCTGCCTTTGTCTGTACTGCTGTTACAGCATTAGTGCGAGCCTACTTGGTTCAGCCACCCTAAAAACATCACAGCTTATCCCCTAATAACAAACCCGCTACCCCCCTTTCCCCCTCCCAATAACTCACCCCCAAATGGAAAGTAGGTAATAGGGTCAATATCCCTAAACCCTAAACCCTTAAACCCTAACCCTATAAACCGCGTGGCTGGGGGTGGCAGGTTCATTGTCAGGGGCGGTGATTACACATTTGGTGCTTCTTTGCAATGTTCCCCCGGTCTGAGAGTCTGAGATTTGCTTGGCATGTAAAAAAGTGGGCCTTTGTCGGGGAGTCCTTGAAATAATAGGTGCAGTATCTTGTAGTCAACATTATGGACCCATTTAATTCTCAAGTTCATCAGATGTGATGAAGTCCAGTCTACCGAATTCAGGTTCCCAGTGAATGATATTTAGGAAACCGTAGCAGAATTCCAAAGGACCCCCTTTCAACGTCGGTGTTAGATTTGGGCGACTGCAGGCTGAGACATGTCGCACCACGTTCGACGCACCCTTGTCATGGCTCGAAGCTGTCAGAGCATGCGAGCTCTCACCCAAGGGCGCAATAGTGTAGGCTGCCCTTCCAGAAATGCAGCCCCAGCCGGGGGGCTTCAGCACTCAACACCAACGTGTTAGCCCATCATGGCCCATCACATCACACACGTCAACATTCTACTGCCAGCTTGGCAGAAAGCAAGTATCACTGGAATTTCCCGGTACATAGAAGGGCGCCATTGGAAGTCCCGCAGCAAGTTTACGCTACCCACCACCAATACCAAACCCAAACACCCAGAACCCACCAAAACCCTCCTCCAGGGGGCCCAGAAGCCCAAAGTCAAAAAGCTCCGGTCACATGCTTGCTTTGGCCAACGGGCTTACGGCGAAGGCGTTCCCCAAATTCTGGGGGCTTGGAAGCGTTCGTTGTGAAAAGCTGCAAGCTTTGTGAAGCAGCTTAGGCAGACCTAAGCGGAAGGGGAGAAAGTTGAATGCTCTGCAGGGGCCAGGGGATGAATCAAAGGAACTGCGTGGGAAAACCTTGAACAGGGACACGGGTAATACTTAGGTGCTGGACTATGCTGCTGTTCTACTTCTACGAAGCTCTTCGCTTATGATCTCACGGACGATTACTCCCGACCCTGAAGTCCGTAGCTATTCAAGTCTGAACCGCCCTCAGCCTGCTGCTCATAGCTGGGCCTGTAGGGCTTCACAGGTCACTGGGATTCATGGTATCTTAGCGCCCTCCGGGCAAATCTTGCTGAGTTTCCAAGTTCCGATGGAAGAGCTTTGGAGGGGATTCGGAAGCATATCCTATGAATACCCAGCACCGCATTCCCAAAACTCAAACCATGCCCAAAACTCAAAAGCGCAAAGCCGCAAGCCCACTCAGCCTTGTTGCAGGCATGGATGCGCTGCGGGCATTGAAAAGCTTGAGAGCTGAGGACAGCCCTTTTTCTGCATGATTCTATAGGGGTTATATTATACAGGGATAATGGAAAATAAAATGGAAACTGCTACTATGGGATTAAGGATAATATTGGGGTTCTGTTGGTGTTCAGGCTGAGGGCTGAGGGCTCCAGAGTTCGGGGTCTAGAAGTCAAGGTCAGCATATTGGGGGTTTCTAGTTTACATTCGAGAGTTCTGGGAGTTGTGGTTCGTAAAGAAGCCTTCCCGACATCAAGATTTCTAATATATATAATCCCAACATACCCCCCATATACCCCTAATATAATCCCAATACAACCCCAATATTCCCCCGATACCCTCATCCCTCCCCCTTTCTAAGGGGACTTATGTAAACTTGAGAAGGAAGTCAAGGTATCACCTAAAGCTGGGGATTGGATTGCCCAGCAGGGTGGGGAGATTTTTGGGGTTAGGATTTAGAGTTGAGCATGCGGGTATCTGGGTATTCTTGTTGAAGGGCATGGGGGTTTGAAGTCTGGCAGTTTTGAGCTTGGGACCGTGGTCGGAGGCTCCGTCATGATGTCGGACGACGCAGCCCAATGGTAACTAATGGGAATGTCTGATGGCTTCTTACACTTTTGCACCCATTGATTCCCCAGGCTCTTTCTTGAAGCATCGACATGACATTGAGGCAAAGGGATTTTTGCAGAGGCCCTTGGCTTCAGAAGTCACATCTCCTCAAGTAGTGGTGGGAGACGCTTTCCTGCACAATCAATATGCATCGTGCTGGTCCATAGGCTTAGGACAACTTTGAGGGTACTTGCTGGGGTCCTGGTAGATCCAATGCCCTAAACAGGTACTACCTTGCATTCCCTCAAGAAGTAGATTCTTATGTTGGGGGTTCTATGCTTGGATGCTCTTTGGACTTTGTAAGCCTACCTACTATCCCCGATAAGCCCTATTATAAGCCCAATAACCCATGTTACTAAGTAGACGTACTGAGTCCAGAGATCTTCCAAATAGCCTTCCAAAACGCTACCCTAAGGGTCCAAGTACCTAATAATGATATACTTACCCAAAACCTGTACCATAATTCCTACTACCCAAAACCCGAAACCCCTAACTATTGGGTACATGGACCCTCTGAAACTACCCTAAAACCTAAAACCCTAAACCCTAAACCCTAAACCCTAAAGCACCCTAAAAGCCTTGCGAGGAGCTGCGACAACTGTGTAAGGAGCAGGCCGGGGAACTTCTCGAAAGATTGCCTTCAGGATTACCTGAGCCATCCTATGAGCTATAGTCTAAACTCCTTAAAGGGGGGATATATAGGGTTTAGGATTTAGGATTTAGGGTTTAGGGTTTAGGATTTAGGGTTTAGGGCTTAGGGTTTAGGGTGCTAAACTCCTTAAAGGGGGGTTATATATAAGGGATTATGTAGGGGACTACTATAGGGGATATTAAGGGGGATACTAGGAGTTTAGATTATAGCTCATATAAACTCCCTTCAAGGGAAGATCTAATCTAAGGCAAGATTTAGGGGATTGCTCTGTAGGCTGTAGGGGTTATTGATGGGGATGCTAGGAGTTTAGGCTTTGGATTGTCTGAACCCCAAGGGTATGTATGTAGATGAATGTGCCTTTTGACTGTTTCAT